CACAGAGATCTACAGATTTCATTCACTTAAAGACGTTTTTAACCATTAATCTGAAAAGTGGCTGTATACAACTGATTGTTTAGATATTACCACGCCTGACATCCATATGAAAGTCTCAATCTGATGAGGCCACTCCACGACTCCAGTTTTTAGGTTAATGTTTTGGTTTTGTATCAATTTATGGTGTTGTGTGAAACTATCCTTAATGCAGCCTATTCTATGCTCAATTTCTTTCTCTCCTATACTAAATTTGTTGCATATGATCCAGACACCATTCAGTATTTGAAGTGTTTGGTATTTACCAATATAAAATAAGCATTTGGTATTTACTGTGAAATATAAATAAATGCGAAATTGGAGCACAATTATCCAATGAATTCTGGGGTTAAAAAGTCCCAACTCTATAGTAATTTATATGCTAAAAGTCTAATATCTGTATTATATATTATCTACTTCTTGGTGATCTCTTCAGGTTTAACTAATTTGCATATTGATTTTAAAAAAGTATATTTCATTAATTAAGTGTCCTTCATTCTTTTCTTTTTATGTGCCGTGTCCTTTCAGAACATAGGCAATCATGGCTCTCCACCTCCCTCTATCCCTTGCAGCTCTCAACAAGTTCCTTCCCTCTGCTTCCTCCCACAGACCATGTTCTGTCATCCACTTGCTTAAGCCCACTAGTTATGTCATGTGTTGTTTTCTTTTGTCTCTCTTTCCCTCTATTCAACCTGTGAGTATCAGATTCTCTAGGCCTTCCTTCCTCATTACATGTCCCAGAACCTTCAGCTGCCTCTTCCTGATGTTAAATGGTGGTTCATTGGTAAAGTGTTGGACTATTATTCTTTCTATACAGGTTCAACTCCACTGAAGGCATTGACTTTAGTAAGTTGGTACATGAGCAGTAAGTCCTTCATTAGTGTTCTTTTATTCAAGGATTGTTTTGATTTTCATATCAAAAATAGTTCTGTTTAGGAATATTGTCTTATATAGTGCAGAAAAGTGTTTGAAATTTGCATTTTACTCGGCCTTCAAAAAGTTGGCATCTATTTGTAAAACTTTCCTTAACTATAACAAGCCAATTTATGAATGAAATGTTCATTTAAAATTTTTGTTTCAAATATTTCAAGTAGTGGATATATCTTACGTTGTGAGCGGGCAAAGCCTGCTAATTCATTCACAATAAATAAATGTTTAATACTTTGCAATTTACAAGAGATAATACTGAATATGTAAATTCTGTATTGATAAAATCATTTTTACAGTTGCTCTGATTTATTTTACTATTTATGTAATTCATTGTTTGTATTTTTATAATTATTCATCCTCAGAGCACCAATTAGGGATAAAATAAGTATAAAATGCTCAGCACCAGGTGCCCATTACTCAGGTAGCATATCTCTCACTACACTTAAAGAAGGGTTAGGGTTTATCCTTGGTGCCTGATATATTTCAAAAGGGAAGTGATATGCAGGAGATTCTCACGTTGAGCACAACCTCCCGTTTCAGTGGGCATGATGATAAATACCCTTATTACTGACAATAAACACATGAATAAATTTCAAAGATTAACCCATATCCTCCTGGCATCAGTTTAAACTGATGCACTTTTTTTTTTCATATGCCTAACTAAAATTTCTTTTTTAATTTTCTTTTCATATGTATAACTATAATTGTAAACTATAATTTTAAAGAGTGACAATTTCACTGAAATATCCGTGTATATTCCTGAGATGATGTATTTTTACAATATATACTATTTACATTGTTCGGACTGTAGTCCTCACATTCCCGACATTTCAGCTATTATACGCTCCGGCCCTCTTCAGGTGATATTTGTTGGAATTTTAACCAGAACACTTTACATTGTTCTAATTCTATGTGTCATACTTTTGAATATCTCAGTTTCAGTTAATTCCTCTTGAAAACTCCACTTTCCAAGTTTTTGTCATCTCTGCTGAGACCAGCGATTAAGCTCACAACTCTTTGGGTCAAGTCACATTTGGATCAATCAATGCGTTTATCCACTGGGCCATGTGCCCTTGAAGACAGTGAATTTTGGGGGCTTATAAACCTAATGTCACAGTCATTTTTTTAACCAAAGCTCATATTACAATTTTTTTTTTTTTACATTGTGAATGTGGCAATAAAGATGAGGACAATAGTGTAAATAGTTACAATACCTCATCTCAGAAATATAGACAGAACCTGAAGAAGGCCTGGGTGCATAGTGACTGAAACATCAGAAATCTGGCAGTAAAGATGAGGAAAACAGTCTGAACAGTGTAAATAGTCACTGAAATATGTTGGAAAATTTCCAAGTTTTTAACTGAAAACAAAATAATGTAAACTTTAAGCAAAAAATGGTCACAATATATAGGAAAAGTAAGCGTAAGTTTAAAATGGATGCCAAGAAGGATACAGGTTAAAGTGTAGTGACACTAAGAGCAAAAACAGGAAGTTACCTCTTTCATAGCTTAAAGCATAATGACATATTTCAGGCTTTGCACAATAGGCTTCACGTATAATTTCTGGTTGAAGCTGATTAAATACAATCCTAAATAAATATATATTGATTAATAAGAAATGAGCACACCTGAAATAGTCAACAACTTAATTGAAGCCTCTTTCAGCTTTGCTAACAATATAAATAAACTCCTGACTAAAAGAAAAATAAAAGGAGATTCTAACAGGCAACACACAGAGAAGACACAGAGAGACAAACTCTTAAAAGTGTGAGCAGATACATCAAAAACATCTTGGCTTCAACAACCACTACTACTCCTCCTCACACCTTTCTCATCATTTTCTCCTCCCCAGCTTTACTTCTCTCATACATTCTACCACCTTTTTCTTATTCACAGGATATATTACCAAATGAAACTAGAATCTCTCAAAAACACTTAAGTACTTTTACAAAACTCTTATAGTTATTGAACTCTAACAAAAAAAAAAAACAAAAAAAAACATTTTATTTCATCTTACTTAATACAAACCTTGTGCCATCTATGGACATTAATACTGTTTTTGTACAATACGAAACTACTTATTAATGTTTATATAAATAATTGTTATACTCCAAGCTTGATTGGTCTTAAGATGTAGTTTATCATGTTTTTTATTTACTCATTCATACATTCTTTATAGTGAGCTAATCCTAAAAAGGACCAAATTGAACCCCACAAATAATCTACTATAAAAGTACCTTCTTGGATAAGAAAAAGCAGGAAAATGATTTAGAATCAATTTATATTTGGGGCTTATTTACTAACTCGACCTCACTATTTGATATCTACTATACATGTCATTTGTATTGTAGCGGACAGCATGCTAAAATAGCATCTTGAATTTGGATGCCTTTAAAATTGTGAATATTGTAATTAGAAATAATTAATCATTGATTAAAATTACATCTGACTAACTGCACATTAGAGTTCATGTTTCCGATTTCAAACTACAGCAAAAATAATGACCTTCTCAACTGTTTTACAACCGTGTAATATCTAAATGGTATAATGTAAAAGCATCTTTACCTACTACATCCCACGGTAATTATCACTTAATATGTCTGCGTTCCATATTCAATTACTTGCCCATTTAGTTTATAGCAGTTTATTTACATATTTTGAATATTTAAAACTAGGTACCTACAATGATTCACTAAAAAATGAGCATACATGATAAAAAAAATGCCCCAAACTTAAAAATAGTTTTATCATCAAAATCTTTATGCTATTATTAAGACCAACATTTTTTTGATTATTAAATTATATTTTTTTGTTTATAAAATTATAGTTTTTAGTCCAATTTAAAACCTTAAAAAAATTGTTTTTCTTGTGTTAGCGAGTAACCATAAATTAGTATGGGAAATTTTTGGGGTTTTTTTTTTTCAGTGAAAAACAATGATTTGGAAATTCTTGCAAAAAACAGATAATTGTCAGTTTTTAATGACACTTTCTGGACTTATTCACAAATGAATTAAATTATTTTAGAAATGTTTAGATATTTTAAGTCTTATTCAAAAAAAAAAAAAAAAAAAATCAAACATAGAAATCCTAGGATTTTCATACTTACAATTAAAATCTATGATTTAAAAATGATGTTTTATTTAAAAACATTTTGAAAAGTTAAGTTTGTTAAAAGTATGACTTCTTTTATTTAATTAGATTTCATTCGTATTAATTTTTTCTGTAACACGATCTTAGTGATTTACTTAGCTTAGATGTAACACAAGGTTGCCATTATGGAGAACAGTGAGGATCGAACTCACTACTCAGTCGTAATTGATCTCACGAGACAAATTTGTTAACCATTATACCCCGACGAAGTGCCCGGGCGACCGTCTTATGTTAATGAAGAGTTATCTCTCTTTAATTTGCTTTACATAAGTCAACATTTTGAGGCTTTTGGTAAGACGGAAAGAAAATAGTTTATAACATTTATTTTACGTGTTATGCTTTTTTCATAAGCAGATATTTTTTTATGCAATTATTAAATGCTTAAAACAATCAATTGGAATTATTATTAATTAATGTGTTCTCGTTTATTAAAAAAATGTAGCAAAAAGAAGTTTATGTAAAAGCGAAAGAAGAAATTTTTTCTTTAAAAAGAATTAAAATATACCGATAGTTTAAGTTTACTTTATATATTTAAACTTAAATAATCGGTTTTACTTTGGAGAGACTCATTAAAAATGTAACTTTTAAGTATTTGAAAAAAAAAAAGAAATCTGAAAGCAACGGCATTCATATTTGTTTTTAAAATTCTCGTTGATAAATCTCCATGTACGGATTTTAAAGTTTATTTTAATTTAAATTTTTTTTTAAATTCATAGGTGTAGCGATTTTTTCTTACTTTTCTTTTCATAGCTAAAAATAAAAACGTTTACTTCCTAATTTGAACTTAAAAAAATAAACCTTTTAAAAAATGGTACACGACAATTTGTCATTAAAACATGTGTGATATCAATAGAATAAAACTCAGTACAAATTAATATAAATGACCTTTTTTTTTCTTAGGCTTCGCAGCTTCGTGGGGCATTGGCCCGATCCACATATCATCGTCGTCTTCATTTTCGTCTTCAAATTTGTCGTTTTGATTTTTCCGCTTCTGTGCTTCGGCCATGTTGTTTAATAATTTTGTTTCCACTACAAAAGAGTTCCATTCTTAAGTAAGGAAAATTAAAATACTATGAATTATACTGGTTGAATTCAGTCTAGCTTTTGTTAGTTTCATTCTATCAATATAACTTTTTAAAAACACCCTCACTTATTTTGATTGTAGAAATACGCAGTAAACGTGCAATAAACCGGTTCAAAATCAAGTGTCTCAGGAAGCCCAAAGTGAATAATAAAATTTCACTTGATGACTGAGTATACTCCAACTTTAGATGCTATTAATAAATTTTAAGTTTTACTTTTAAGCATAAAAATAACTAAAATTAGAGAAAATGTTATAAATTCCTAAAATACTGTGGGGTATTTTTTATTTCTTATTTTTTTAAAATGCTTTTCTTGGGATGTACATTGTGGTATAATAGATATCGGCTTAGAATGAGAAATCAGAGAGTTCAAATTCCAGTCAAGTTCTTTACATTCACTTATGCCCAAATACCATTCAGAATCCATCTTTTCTCCTCCCAGCTATGGGTTGAATAGCAGGACAGACTGGGTACTATAGCCTTGGTTGGCAACCAGTCAACCACACAAAGAAACGGCAACCTACTGTTGAAATATCTTGTCTAGTCAATCATGAATCGAAAGAAACATGATCATCCAAGAGTATATCATGTATGGCACTTAACTGACTGGGCTTTAGTAGAGCATTGATTTTAAAAGGTGACAGGGTCAAAGGTTTTTCAGGCTTCTTATCACGACAGTCAGTCATCACAGATGTTTCGACTTGAAGATAGACTGCAAATCAGTGTGATTTCTCATCTTCAGTATGACAGCTCATTTCCAAGCATGTCCATCTTCTCAGGCCTTTTTGTGTTTTTTCAACACCCACAGAGCCCACCTGTGGTTTATACTACAATTATGCTGAATAGTTCAAGTATGCGTAAATATGCAGTAGAGCCCGGCGTTGTCCGGGGATGTAACAGTAAGAGATAGATCAAGTATCGACCATCATAAAGACTGAAAAATAAAATTGACAAAGATTATTGTTTAAGGTTGACGGACACGCATGTCTTAATTAGTTTTGTTTTTTGTTTTTTTACGAATTGGTCAAACCCAAACTCAAACAAAAACATTGTTTTCAATCGTTATGAGTCTACCGATTGAATAGAATTTTATTATAAACAATTGTCTTGTAAATGGAATTTTTAAAGCATTCTGAATGTAAAAATAAAGAAAAAAAGTGTGCCAGACAATACGAAACACTACCTGCCCGCCCCCAAAGTAAAGTTTTGTTGAAATCGGTTGAAAAATGTAAGAAATCCGATCCCATATATAAACGAACACACACACACAACCTGGGTTTTATAAGTATAACTCGATATGAGTTGTCTCCACTTTCATTTTCGCGACAGCGATGCCTGTTAATCGTGTTTTCAAATTGATTTCGTGCAAAAACAATTGTGTTTTTCCAATACGTAGTCCTGTGAAGTTTTGTTGAAATCGGTTGAAAAATGTAGGAAATCCGATCCAATATATAAACGAACAGACACACACACACAACCTGGGTTTTATAATAAGTATGATGTACTTGTATTTGTGTGTGTGAGAGAGTTCAGTCGTCAATCAACCAAGGTAATGAATGCGCCCCAGTGGCGACGTGCTTATCTACTACATCTTGAACACAAAGAAAGAGAAAGGAAGGGAATGTTTGTCATTTTATAGACTTAAACGTCGTCACCCAATAGGCGTTTTTCGCGAAGCCAAGTAGGATAACCCACAATTGGCGTCTAGGGATAAGTTTGTTCCCTTAACTGCCAACAGTCAAATATATAACATTCAATTTTTTTTATGCAATCCCAATGTAAAACAGACAAAATAAAATGTAAAAACATCTAGGAAGATAATTCACAAAAAATATAGAGAGATCAAAAAGTGGGAAACTTAAGAAGCTCCTTTTTTATTTCTGGAAGTATGAAATCAAAATAAAGAAAACAAGCAATTTCAAAAAAGACATCTGCTGGAAAATGAACCTATTCATGGGAACGACTCTTGGTAGAGAGAGTTTTAAAAAAAATGATAGTAAAATTATGAAAGCCAGTTACAGTAAAAATGTATATATTTTTTGCTTTTTTGGGTGGGGGAGAAAACAGAAAATATTTTTTCTTTTTGTCGTATTTAAAGTTTGATTAAAATTTTAGCAAATGCAAAACTCAGACAATGTCTCCAAATCAGAAATTCAGCCTGGAAAGCTAAGAAATGTCAGAAACTGTTTTCTGGCACCGCTTGACAAAAAAAAAAAAAATGTTTATTTATCTGAAATGAAAAGTATGGCAGACAGACATGATGCAAATTTTCGATTATGCAACACAATCTCCGAGTGAGTCCGGTAATTTTATGACATGCGTGTACGTTTAAGAGATATTGCGCCGTCGCGAGTTTGATGAAGTTGGAGAATATTTTCATTTTTATTGACGCTTTCAGAAAGCGTCAATCAAAATGAAAATATTCTCCAACCCTAAGTTTTTATTGGTTCTTTGATTCACGAAATCGTTTCAAACTTGAAAATTGTTGATATCTACTTCGCAAATATTCTGAATCGGCTTCCGCTTAGGGAACAATTTGGATAATTGTAACTGCCTTATGAACTAATTACAATTACAACAAACATGAGCACAATGGCATCGCTTTGTTTTCTGGCCACATCTTCGACGCGAAAACGTTGTCTCAATTCAAACATTTTTTTGAATTTTTAACGAACCGTTAATGACAATTATATTTTCATTGGCTCTGTTTATTTATTAATAATTTGAATTTGTAGAGGGCCGTGGCTGTTATGTTGTTGATAGAAGTCAGATGTAGAAGTAACGCATGTAAGGTTCAGATACTCCTGCTCGCCGGGCCCAACTACATAAAAAGGTTGGACTCTGATTAAGTCCAAAGAAGAAGGCAAAGAAAGCAAACAAAACAAAACACAAGACCGATAATATATGTATATACAAATATATATTAATGACAAGTTACAATACATGGAAAGAGTACAAAGGATGAAGTGTATGGGAATATTCTGTATGTGCGTGCTTGTGTGAATATTCTGTATGTACGTGTGTGTGTATTGTGCTTAACGTGTTTCCACGCTATCCCTTGTTAGCGCCTACATTTCGAGGTTGTAAGCTGAAAGCCTGATGAAAAGGAGAGATTTACCTCAAGGTGTCGGCGCACAGGCCTGAAGGAAAAAGAGAGAGAGGCGAAGGGTCAGCGGCTATTTATAGCCAGGGAAGAAAGACCCCTGGTGAAAGGGTTAATGTACTAAAGGAGGAGTTAACTCTGACAAATTCGGAAAAGTGTTCTCGTTCAGAATTAGAGAATTTAAAAGTTCGCAGAGAATACTTTAACATTTTGAACGATAACCATTCATTATTTAATTTATTGAACATTAACTAGTTTCTTTTGGATTTTTAAACGAATGAAAATTATCGAAATAAAAAATTAAATCATAGAAACTTTCTCGAATCTTCAAGGACTAAGTAAGAATTTTATACATTTAAGAAGAGTAAGACTTAAAACGCGCTTCATTTCAGATGTTATGCAATTTCTTGGTCACGTAAAAAATCATCTTTAATCAAATTTTTTGTTCGAAATATAAAATCTACAACATCTAAAACGTTTTAAAATAAAAATAAAATATTACAAAAACAGTTATCTTACACTTACACGATGATCCACTTGCTTTTCAGCGTCCATAACAAGGTACCAACCTCGATTTCATAGATGTGCCGACCACCTTAAACTTTGAAACCATCGTTTATAAGGATTTTTGACGACATGCTCATTCAACAATAAAATGAAGACATACATTTCACTCCGGTTTTAAAACTGCAGAAATACATGTACATTTTTGCAAATCACTTTAAGGCAGATTCAGAGAAGAAAAAGCATTTATGAAAATGTGTTTTTTTTTTCGTTCATTGGTTAAATTTAAGTTATTTAATTTAAAATACGTAATTTGCTTCGAAATCTGACACTTCAATATGTTATGTCATACTAAAACATACGCCCGTCCGCACGCACTCCATTCACACACATATAAATTATTTTAAAAATTATCCCATATTTCTTAAACATTGATTCTTTTAGTAATTGTTTTTCAAAAATTTAACTCAAGGCGTGGAAATTTTTAAATCAGCCAATAAGAACAAAGTTCACTGACATTTTAGTCTATTGCCTGCAAGTCAACAACTACAGTATCTTTTAACCTTGTCAATCATTTTTGTGATGAAGGTTGAAGTAAACTCCAAAAAACACCTGCTTTTAAACACATTGATATTCGATTAGAAAACAAAAGTCGTGGGTAGTTTTGTTAATATTCCGATGTTTATTATTCACATCATCTCCTCAAGAACATTTTTTTCAAATGCCATGTCCATTCAGGACGTAGCCGATCATGGCTCTCCACAGATTCTGTTTCCTTTAATATCTATGAATTGCTAGTACTTCTTGGGGAAATAGTGGAGTGTTTTCCGTTGCTTCGTCCTTAGATTCCTTTTCTTTATTATCTGTGAATTGCCATGACTTCTTGGGAAACATAGTGGAGTGGCTTGCCGTTGTCTTCTCCAAAGATTCCTTTTCTTTATTATCTGTGAATTGCCATGCCTTCTTGGGAAACATAGTAGAGTGGCTTGCCTTGTCTTCTCCAAAGATTCCTTTTCCTTATTATCTGTGAATTGCCGTGACTTCTTGGGAAAGATAGTGGAGTGGCTTCTCATTGCTTTCTCTACAGATTCCTTTTCTTTATTATCTGTGAATTACCATGATTCCTTGTAAAGATAGTGGAGTGGTTTCCCGTTGCCTTCTCCAAAGATTCCTTTTCTTTATTATCTGTAAATTGTCATGACTTCTTGGGAAAAATAGTGGAGTGGTTTCCTATTGCCTTCTCCACGGGTTCCTTTTTTATTATTATCAGTGAATTGCCATGACTTTTGGGGAAAGATAGTGGAGTGGTTTCCCGTTGTCTTCTCCAAAGATTCTTTTTCTTTATTATCTGTGAATTGCCATGAATTCTTGGGAAAGATAGTGGAGTAGTTTCACGTTGCCATCTCCACAGATTCCTTTTCTTTATTATCTGTAAATTGTCATGACTTCTTGGGAAAGATAGTGGAGTGGTTTCCCGTTGTCTTCTCCAAAGATTCTTTTTCTTTATTATCTGTGAATTGCCATGAATTCTTGGGAAAGATAGTGGAGTGGTTTCACGTTGCCATCTCCACAGATTCCTTTTCTTTATTATCTATGAAAAGCCATGACTTCTTGGGAAAGATATTGGAGTGGCTTCCCGTTGCCTTCTCCAAAGATTCCTTTTCTTTATTATCTGTGATTGCCATGACTTCTTGGGAAAGATAGTGGAGTGGTTTCCCGTTGCCTTCTAAGATTCCTTTTCTTTATTATCTGTGAATTGCCATGACTTCTTGGGAAAGATAATGGAGTTGCTTCCCGTTGCCTTCTCCAAAGATTCCTTTTCTTTATTATCTGTGAATTCCCATGACTTCTTGGGAAAGATAGTGGAGTGGCTCCCCGTTGTCTTCTCCAAAGATTCTTTTTCTTTATCTGTGAATTGTCATGATTTCTTAGGAAGGACATTGGTGTGTTTTCCGTTACTTCGTCCATAAATTCATTTTCTTTATTGTCTCTGAATTGCCATGAGTTTTTGGGAAGTTAGTGGAGAGATTATTTGTCTTCTCTTAGTGTGGCTGGATAGTCCCATGTACTAGATGAGTTCATGCATTTCTCAAGGGTATTAAAGCAAAAATGAACGCAACATACTAGGACAGAGTTTGAATTCGATTCGCCGATTACACTCTTCGCACCGATAACTAGTATCCTAAGATAATGAATGCAAACCATTCTCAGTAAAATATTTACAGTCGATAAGAAAATAGAAACAAATGGAACTTTAGCATCCCGCTCCCACTTTCTTGTCAGTATTGAATTTTGTACAAATCCGTGCAAAAAGTGAATCAAAGAGCTTACCCAGCTTCATACATATTTTCAGGAAATCTCAACTTCTAATTGGTCAATAAACACACAAGTAAGCGTTGCAATCCACCCACATACAAGTCTTTTTCCAGCGCGTGACCAAGTCACATTTTCCCGCTCTTTTTCCAGGAGCTTGTCACGTGATTACATTAATTATAAATATCAGACACGAGTTCGTTCTCTCTTCCTTGATTACTCTCGCTACAAGATGTAGTTGTAAAAAGGATTTGCATCTTGACCATGTGCTGTCAGACGCTTATGAAAACATATTCACACACGCACACATGCACGTACGTACGAAATTTTCCAAACTACATCAAAAACATACGAAATATTTCCAAACCAGCAACAAGAACTTTTCTCTTTAAAAAATACTCTGATCAAACTTTAGCACATATCTTTACAAAACAAAATTGTTCTGTACATAAAAAAAATGTATATTTGTTATTCTAAACATATCCTTTTTGTCGTAACTGAATATCGTTACCATTTGATTTTTTTTTAATTTAAATTTATGTTTGTGGATGTAGCATGTTTCATTTTCAGCAAAACATTTACAACATTCACGCAATCTTCTTAGATCCACTACAGAATAAATGGGACAAAAAGGAGTTGAAACGAAGTTTGAATGTGCAAATATGTTGGTTATCTTATTGCAAGCGATATAATTATTTTTAGTCTGTATCAGCCCATGCAAGGCAGTAAAGTCACTAAGACTCAATGGGTTACAGGGCGTGGAAGAATTATGAACAGAAACATTACTAATGAGCGGGAAGAGGAAAGAGTAATCAGGAGGACAGTAGATAACGATTGACATTGCATTTAAATTTTTGCAGATTAAAGTTGTCTGGAAAACATGGAACGGGGGGAGGGATTTCCACAAGCGAAAAGTGCGAGAAAAGAAACGGCATAGAATTTATGGCTACCTCTAGTTTAGTACTGCGCTTATATTCACAAAGTCTAAGTAACATCGCGAAGAGCTCATCTCGACAATTACCATGAAAGTATTTATAGAAAAGGCACAGAGAGGCAACCTTACGGCGTTGGGAAAGTGACTGAAGCCAAGATGCCAGATCAGGTCCAATAATATTGCTATTTATTATTTACATAAATATTATTTAAATAGGTTATTTAAAGTCAGGAAATATTTTTAGATTGTAAGATTTTTTTAGTTAATAATGATTTAATGATACAAGTCTAATTTCCCACAGTTAATGGGAAGAGGCGGATTTATTCCTTTCCCAAGGGTATTTACGCGTAAGTGAATATAACGAACCAAACTGGAATTGGTACTCGACTCTCCGATTTCCAATTCCGAGCTGTTATTCATTACACCACCCGCACATCCAAACTTACAGCACCTGGTATCTCCAAGCGGTCACCCATCTAGGCAGTGCTGCTCAACGTTGCTTAACTTGGGTGATCGTACGGGAACCGATGTTTCAATATGATATGGTCGTGAGCCCGTGTTTACAGGGAGGCATGCGTGTACTTACAAATGTGTGTGTTGTGTATGTGAAGGAGTGAGAGAGAGGGGTGGGTCGGAGGAAAATACGGAGGCGAATCTATACTTAATGACCAAGCTCCACCTAAAATTATTTGGACACATCCGCACCTGCTCGTAATGATGCCGGGTCGACGAGCACACGCAGGAAGTTTGCTTGACAGTTACAGTTCAACAAGGTGATGAAATAACTTTCGGCTGAGTGACGTGTTTATGGCCTTGGCTTTGAGGACAATCCTGTTTTTAACTCTTATTTTCGAGTAGTTACGAGGAATTTTAGACAAACACATATCAATTTTTCCCCAACATTTGTTGAACTGATTTAGTTCATTTGGGGTACTATATTTTTATAAATGTTTCTTTTCATTCATTTTATCTATTGTGCATCTTTGATATATTTCAAAAAGCAATAAATATACAAAAAAAAAAAAATGAAATGGTTCATTTACAATACATCGAATGCCAATTCCGTTTTTCCAAGTTTGTTTTATTAAATAGAAAATCCATTGTCCATGTCTTCGAATAAATGGATCAATAATTCCATTACATGATATTGTGATTTTTTTAAGCGTAGCTTAGATGTGACACAAGGCCGAAAGTATGGGGTACCCAGTAAGGATAGAACTCACTCTTCAGTCGTAATTGATCTAGCGAGACAAGATTACTAACCGTTATACGACGTCGAAGTATCCAAAAGATGATTTTCTAAGCGTAGCTTAGATGTGGCACAAGGCTGAAAGTATAGAGCACCCAATGAGGTTCGAACTTACTATTCAGTCGTAAATGATCTCGCGAGACGAGCTTACTAACCATTAAACCACATCGAAGTGACTAGCCGTAACCTGATATGTGATTATTAGCTGAATTTTTGATCTGACATTCACGATTTTTATTAATATAAATTTACTAAATTAAGTGCCTTGACAAAGAAACAGATCATGTAGTTATGTAAAATAAATACTTTTTTTACTACTAGACTACGAACATACAGATGCATCTCATATATAGTCAATAAATTATTAAAATTTCAATTGACGTATCTTTCGACCGACTTCAACGTTTCGCATATACGCAGCTCATCAGGATCAAATTTATCTGACCTCCTAACCATGATGAGAGGTGTTTTGGGAAACTCTGAAGTCAATCGAAAGATTATTCAGTTGAATTTTTATTAAATTGTGGACTATTGTTTTCCTAGTTATTTATAGAGCACTTTCTTAACAAAAAATTCTGATCACTCTGAAATACGTTAAATAAATTCTAGTAATTTTAAGCATTTTGATTGGTGTTATTACATGTAGCTGATTGCGACGTCTTGTCAGACGATTGCCACTCCTCCATTGATTGACCGTCCGTGAACCCGTTAAAAGCTCTTCAGCTCTGTCAGCAACTTGCACATCTTGGAGCAGATTTGGCACATAACCGTTGACGTTGGTTGAGACGACAGACACGGTGTTGGCATCACTGGGAACTTTCATGTGACCACCAGCTGATCGGTAAACTCTAAAGCAGTGGGAGCATGAAAAGTTTTCATCCTGGGACTCAATGCGCGGCATAGGACGGACAACGGGTGTAATTGCATTGCTTTCATGCGATTTCATGTTATTACATACATACATACATACATACATATATGTTTTTTATGTGTATCACCTCAAGCAAGGCAGTACAGCCATAAGCACGCAAGAGGCGTGGAGGAATTAGAAACAGAAACATTAGTAAAGAGAAAAGAGCAATCAGGAGGGCAGTAAATAGTGATTGACATTGCATTTAAACTTGTGTAGACTAAAGTTGGCTGGAAAATATGGAGCCCGGTGGGTGTTCTACAAGCGAGAAATGCAGAATAAGAAATTGTTAGAATAGAAGTTACGGTTAAATCTAGCCAGCTCAACTTTAAATTGATGACATCTTGCCGCCATCTAATATTGTGTTTAAATTCATACAGTCTAGGTACCATAGCGAAGAGCTCACTCGAACAATTACCATGTAAGTATCCATAAAAAGAAGTCACAGAGAGGCAATCTTATGGCAGTGGGAAAGTGACTGAAGCCGAGTCGCCAGATCAGGACCAATAATATTGCTGATTCTTCTTTGGATTTTATCAAGGAGCTCCCGGTAAATAGCAGGAGCATCGGACCATATGTGGCAGCAATATTATAAGCATGGGCGAATTGTAGACTTACAGATATGCAAGATAGATTCCGGAGGGAAAAATTATATATATATATATATATATATATATATATGAATGAAAAAATCGTTTCCTCTTTCACCTATCTTAGCTCCATTGTATCCAACAATGCTAAAATGGACAAAGAAATTGAGTGCAGGATTGGAAAGGCTAGTTCTGTTTTCAATAATCTTTATCACAGGCTTTGGAATACTCGTGAGGTTTCGTTAAAGAGGAAAATTGATTAATATTGACATCCCAAATTTATGTGGCAGAATCGTGAACTCTTATACCGACGACACGTCAATCAACTTGATGCCTTCCACGTGCATTGCCTAGGTACCATCTGAAAAAGAAAACTGTGTGATCACATTAGAAATAATGAAGTTCTGACTAAATAAAACATGACAGGTATTGAAGCCATTCTAATGAAAATCCAACTCAGGTGGGCAGGACATCTGTCTCGTATGGGAGATAGCAGACTTCTTTGGCCAGCTTCTAACAAGCAGGTTAGTTAGAAGGCCACTCAAAGACAATCTAAAACAATGCAGCATCTCCTTTTCTTCCTGGGAAAGCAAAGTATCAGAGCAAAGGAGCTGGGCGTCTGTCCTGCTTCTTATCTATACAAAACTTTGAACGAAGCCATTTTGAACATCGGGATCAACTGCGGGATCAAATACTAAAGAAATTTGGTAGCATGCTGCTCCTTTCAATGATAGCCTTACTTGTCACTGTGGGTTTGTCGCATGCAGTAAAGTGGGCCTTGCTGTCCCCTCGTGGAAACATGTGGCAGCTGATCCTCAACCATTCGAACGAAATAGCTCAACCATATTTTCCGTCTGTTTTATATTGTTGAAGCTTGGATAAGCATGGAATAATAATAATACAACACAAAATGTACGTAAACAAAATGTATTGAAACAAGGAAAAGGTACACAATATTTACAGATAGTTTTTGTATATTCTTGGGAAGACTGTTCCTGTAGAATGGGTTGACTTAATCGCAGTCGGGCAGAGTCTCTCGATTGGATCTCTTCTTACTTCTTTCCTCGTCTTCCCGGTACCAACCCATATTTATATGGTCGGTACTTCACTATATAAATTAGGTGGATCGTACCACAACATATATATATATATATATATATATATATATGTGTGTGTGTGTGTGTGTGTGTGTGTGTGTGTGTGTGTGTGTGTATTAAAATAAAATACTCCTACAAACTTTGGAGACGGGTTCCTCACAACAAAACAAGGACTCCATATAAACATATGTCCGCAAATCCTTCGTTGTTAAGTTATTAATTTTAAAGAAAGTTTACGGCACTGTGTTGCCATGAAGACTAGTTTACATTTGTCTTTCGTGTTCATTTGTGGTTCGTCTGCCTTCAACGTTTAATGCGTGTAGCAGTGAGTTAACTGAGAAGTGTTCCGTTTAACAATGGCAGAATATTCATATCGTGAGCAAGCAGATATGATTTTTACGGCCGGTAATGGACGCGAAGCTGCAGGGCTGTATCAGATTGCGTTTCCAGACCGAAGGCAGCCGAGACATTCAACCTTTGCCGCTGTTTATTGTCGCGTTACTGAAACAGGATCCGTGGCACCACAAACGAGGAAAATCGAGATCCGCTCATAGACCTGACCACGAAGAAGACATTCTACAGGTATCAGCTCTCGTCCAGTGGCCCTAGAAAGTCGTACATCTCATAGTACCGAATGGAGGGTATCTCAAGAGCAGCTCCTCTATCCGTATCTATTTGCAACGTGTGCAGGGTTTTTCGCCCTTTGATCACTCACTACGGCAGAACTTTTGCCGATGGTTTATTGCACAAAATGCCGATCTGTTGTTCGTCTCTTCAGTCTTGTTTATGGATGAAGCAACGTCTGGAAGAGATGGAATAACAAATTTATAAAACCAACATTTGTGGGTGGATCGAAATCCCCATGGTACAATACAGGCAAGACATCAGCATCAGTTTACGATTAATGTATGGGTTTGAATTGTAGGTGACTCTCTGGTAGGTCCATATGTTCTTCCTGTACGTTTAACATGAGTTGTCTACAGGGACCTTATTTCGAACACACTTCCAGACCTGCTAGAGGATTTACCCCTGCTAATACGAAGACGCATGTGGTCCATGCATGATGGGACTCCAGCACATTTTAGTCACATTGTTCGCGATGCAATGGCTGACATCTACCATGAAAGATGGATAGGTAGGAGAGGACTGTTTCCATGATCTGCACGTTCTCCCGACCACAGTCCTTTGGATTTTTATCTGTGAAGCCACGTAAAACAATTGGTTATTTATATATATATATATATATATATATATATATATATATATAAATATTGAATGTTAGTAGACGTTTCGTGTCTTCTATTCCCTTATCAGTCAAAAATTTAATTTTACTTGCATTATTTACATTATTCGGGCTGTTATCCTTATCTTCATTGCCATATTCACAACGTTTCGGCCGTTGTACGCTCCGGCTTTCTTCAGGTGGGCCTTGTGGATAAAGGCGTTGGTTAGATCCAGTGACTAGACCCAAAGAGTTGTGAGTTCAATGCCAGGCTACAGCAGTGGTAAACTAAAACTTGTAGAGTTAAAGGGAAATAACTGAGACATGGCACTGGAACTAGAACAATCTACCCCGGTGGACGAAAGGGTTTCGGTTCGAAACGTTGTAAATATGGCAATGAGTTTGAGGATAACAGTCCGAATAAAGTAAATAATGTAAGTAATCATAATACCTCATCTCAGAGATATAGACAGATATTGATT